TATCTTTGAATGATACCTGTTGGAATCCAAATACTGCAGCCATTAGTGTCTTATTTGAAGTCAATTTGTGATTCTCCAAGCTCTGCTCCTTTCTATGACTTAACCCACCTAGGGTTAGACCAACATGTGAATAATGAAGCCCTGGAAAACAAAGACCTAAGAAAGACAGAAGTCTCAGTTCTGTTCCATGTAAAGGAAGACTTCAGCAGTTAGTCCAGAAGAGTGTCTTCAGAAAACGGTCACTTTATGCACTCTTTCTGTCTTGCTGCATGGCAGTTCTTACTACAGGGCTTTCCCCGTGCAGCAAAAGACACCTGCTTGTATCTTATCCATTTGTTAGCTGCCCTGAGCTCAATACTGGCCCCACTACTTGTGGGTGTCTGATTTGGATGTATCACTTAGCTTTTTCTAAGCAGCTATTCCTTTCCATGAAAAAAGTTTACTAACTTCGCAGGGTTTTCTGGGTTAAATAAGAAAGTGCCTTACAAAACAGAATTTTCTCGGGCTGGCACGGTTGGCTCAGGTCTGACTGTTACAGCCATTTGGGGAGTGAACCAGCAAATAGAAGACCCTTCTCTCTTTTCCTCTCTTTGTAAAATAAATGAGTGTTTATTTAAAAAAGAATATTCTGTACAAATAGTGTAACTTGAGGCTGGCAGGATCCCAGGTTGATACAGAAATTCCTCAATAAACAGACATTGTTTATAAACAGACTGATAGGCATATTAGTGTTAAAGAGACTGGTGTGGGATTACCTATGTTCACATGGCAGTTCCAGCGCTTGCTAGCTGTGTGTCTCTAGGCAAATAGCCTGTGTGTGCATCACTTTCTCTAAAACAGAGCCTAGGACTCTATGTAAGTACACTGCACTGGTATGTTCACTTAAATTCAACAGTTCTCAAAGAGCCATACTGGGTTTAGAGAAGGCACACAAATGTTAACTAATAAGAGCAGAGATTGTGTTATTGCTAACTGGCTAATGGGAGAGGTTAAGTAAATATCCAGGGTCACATTCCACATTAGTACCAGAGCTGGGATTTGAACTCTGGCCTTTGTGAATATTCTGTAATCTATAAGTCCAGCTGGAATGCTATCCAATTCATACTTATCTACATTATTTCTAAGAACATCAGGGAAACCTTGGTTAAGTGTTTCCCTGGATTTCTCATAGTTTTGGTGGTGCAGGGGGCAGTGGACAAGAGAGATCTGAGTTCCTGAAGATAGCAGCAAGGTAGATTGGCATGCCTGATCTGGCATGCAGAGGATTGCTTGGGGGTACAGTTGATGAGTTCACTGTTCCTGAAATCATTGAAAAGCCCCAGGCCAGGCAGCCCGGTTTAGTTGTTTATGTCTTGAAAAAGTTCCCTAAAATGGCACCTTCTTACTTGAAAGTCCATTTCTGGAAGTTGTATGTCATACTTCCCTTTGTGTCATTAGGCAGAACTTAGTCACATGGCCATAGCTAGCTGCAAGAGAGGCTGGAAAATGTGGTATTCATATAGTTGTAGCAGAGTTTAATGAAAATATTGTAGGGAAAGATCACATATCCTGGATTTTTTTTCCATGATTAAATATTTCTAATCTATTTTCCTGGAAGAACTTCAAGATAAGCTTAGAAAGTACTGTCCCATGTAAGACAAGCCAAAGAGGAGAGAAGACATATGAAAGACTATGTTAGGATATGTGATGTGGATGTCATAACACATCCATACATGACTCCGTCCACCTATCAGGGTGATTCAAGGTCAACAACAGTTGTGATTTAACTAGAGATATTTCCATGGATAAATTTTATCCCACACCAAAAAGGAAAGATATAATTATGCAAGATAATTAAGCAGGGTCTTTCAGGAATGAGCAGTTTCCCTTTAAAAAAATTCACAAAGTTATTCTCAGTGCCCTTAATTCCTTCCTACTACATAATTTTCCTCCTGTGCACTATTTGGGTGTATGATGTATGCACACACACACACACCCCATACACAGTCTACACAGAGGTGTATACTAACTAATGTATTTGTGAACCATGGAGAAAGGTAAAAAATGAGTCTACTGAAAATGAACTCTTACCTACTTGAGATTTCACTTGCTACCCATCCCAAGAGGACTGTGCAAATTAAAGGTTAAAACTCCCCAGGAATCACTATATCTCTGAATCTATTAACAAATTCCTCGGGGGGAGGGGGTAGATTCTTGCACAATCCTCAGAGGATCATAAAAGAATACCTCAAAGAGGTTCTACTCCTATAAGTGGAGAGCCAGGCCATAAACCTCCCAAGAAAAATGTCCAATATGATTATTCAAATTAATATGAGGGATCCGGGACAGCAGAGTGTCATCATAGTTTGGAAAAAGGCTTAGTGGGCAATGAGTTGTACTTTCTAGGTAAAAGTGAAAGTGGGAAGAAGGGAGCTCTTAGGTCAGGTGGAAGGACCAAGCCGAGAGTATAGAGGTGGACAATGGTCAGTAGTCTGTATGATGGAGCCAGACTATTGCAGGCCATCGTGAGGCTCCGGGCTGAAAGTACAGCTGGAGACCTTGGGACACAAGTGAGGAAGAAAGAGACCGTACAAGCCAAAAGAGAAAAAGTCTGGAGCAGGGCTGATCCCCAAGTAATGGCTCGTGTGGGCAGCACACTGACTGAAGGCTGAAGTGGCAGGCTGCAGTTGGGAGACCAGCTTCTGTCCAGGTTAAGAGCTACCAGGGACCAAAGCAGAGGCTGTGGAGACTGAGAAGAGAGAAAGCATCACTAGGTGTGGAAAGATCACATCAAAGAAAGTGGGATGCTGTGGCAGGCAAGGAGGGGAGACCTTGTAGGAGCAGGTGACAGGAAGTCAGCTCCCCACGTATCCCAAGCTTAGGGGTGTGCAAATGGAGGAAAAGGCAGAGGAACTGCAGTGAACCAAAGGCGAGAATGGAAAAACAGAGTCATGGATCAGCAGACCATCCACAAGTCTTACTCTCTATATATAAAACAGAAGCAGGCCTCAGGGAAATACTGGTATCCAAAGAGATGTGGACACCCCTGCCCACCCACCCACTCATCCCTGATGCTAATGACTTGGCAGGAGAGAGATTACCACTGTGGGGTAAGTCATGAGACAACAAACTAGTGGAGACAACAATGCATATCACAGATACATGGCTCGTCCTTCATAGGCAGCACATCGACTGATCACAGGAAGTACAAGATGAAGGACCCAATAAAAACCAGACAAGATCCTGGGCAGATAGTTCACACACACACACACACACACACACACACACACCCCCTTATACAAATGTAAGAGACTCAACATGACTCAAAGTCAGAATGAGACATGTTAAGATGACATGGTTATCATTTCTCACCTCCTAACTGAAAGGTGGACCCAATACAGCTGATGAGGCCATGAAAACATCATCACTGTTTTTGCAGAACTGCTTTGGGTCAAAGGATAAAGGAGTGGCAATTTCCATCACTCCTTTATCCTTTGACCCAGCAAACCAATTCTGCTTCCTCCTCTTTATCCACACACTTGTACGTGCATGAAACAGCATACACATGTAGCTGTTCTTGTGGCATTATTGGAAAGAAAACCAGTCAGCTAACAGGAAGAACTGGTTCCAGAAACAAAAGAACAGCTGCATTGTGGAATAAAATGCAGCTGTGAAAATGACACAGAAGGTTCTTTATGCCTTGCTAGAGAATAAACTCCAAGCTATGTTGTTATGGGAAAAAGTGTGATGTGGGGTATGCTGTCAAGTAGAAGGGTATGCCAAAGAGTGTATGGAAAACACTTAAAAGCCGCTTGTTTGCAGCATCTTGCAATCCTTGTATCATAAAGGTCTTCCAAAACCTCACAGAAACACATACTGTTAAAAAGCTAGCCATGCATTTCAAACATTTCTGCACCAAATAGCAGTTCAGTATCCCCTTTTCTGGAGCACCTTGTATATTATTTCTGGTGTTACAGAGAAGAAAAGCACACGTTTTTGTTTGTTTGTTTTTAAATTTACATTTGGCCTTGTAAAACACTGGATATATAAATGAGAAACTAACAATGTCTATCTAAAGGGAAAGGGAAAAAACTAGACAGTTTAATATAGATCTTCATATTTCACTTAGATTTTTGTGTCCTGGATGCTCCATTTCCCACCCAACTTCCTGCTTAGGATCCGGGAAAGCAGGAGAGAATGGCTCAAGTCCTTGGGCTCCTGTACCCATATGAGAGGCTTAGAAGAAGCTCCTGGCTCCAGGCTCCAGGCTTCTAACTTCAGGTTGACTCAGCCTCATTTGTTACAGCCAGTTGGGTGAGTGAATCAGCATATGAAAGATCTTTGTCTCTCCTTCTCTGTAAATATGCCTTTCAAATAAAAAGAAATAAATCTTAAAGTAGCCATACCATAGAATCCAGAAACACAACTTGAAATAAGGCATCAATGATATTATCATATCCAAGAGATTTGTCCTAACCGGAGCAGTCAGGAAGGGTTCCCTTGAAGAAGTCACTGTGGAACTGCAATCTGAACAAAGCATTCAAATCTGAGAGCAAATCTGGGAGGCAAACCACACTTAGGAGGAACTGAATGGAAGCAGCAAAACAAATCAAACTATGAGACAAGGCTGGACCTGTAACGGCAGGCCCCACTTGTGACTTGTAAGCTGTGCTGAGAGATGTGTATTTTAATTCTAACAGTGGTAAGAAACTGTTAGAGGGTTCTTAACTGGCAGACATGAGTAAATCCAAGGTTAGTTTATACTTTATTCAGGGGGTTATCCATAGTTACTAAAAACTGTCAAGGTAAGATTTGGTGCAGTCACCACACTTGCTTATGGAAAGAACTGCTGGTCTCAGTTTTCCCACATTCACCCATAAAATCACACAATACTGCTAACAGCATTGTGCATATTTTAATTATGACCCATCAGTTGCTATTTGCTGAAAACATTACACAAATTGCACAAAGGACAAAGTTGTGATAGTCTAATTTACATTGGAACTTCTCTTGGTTTCCAGGCAACATCATCACCCTGGATAATGATGGCTCCGACCCTTAGAATCTTTGACAATTTGGTACGTGAAATGAAGGAGGAAACCAATTTCTGTGTGTTCAGGCCAGTATTGCAGTCTATTACATCCAACCAGGAAATAAAACCCATTGTTAATGCACCATTTGATAAGAACACTTAACCTCAGTGTGTGTTGTAATTAAAGAGATAATTAGAACTTCACTAGAACTACTTCAGACCAGACATACATCTGATACTCACCTAGAATGAAAATGACATTGTCTAAGAGCAATGCGAGGCATTTCTTTTTCCTCCCAGGTTTACCTTGCCAGCTTTTCCTACCCCAAAGCTTTTACAATCTAATACATGGGAAAAGGTAAGAGCTTTATAGGTAGTGTATATCATAGAAGGCTAATGAGTTCAGTCAAAAAATGCTTTACAGTTATGTGAAGACGAGGGGAGAAAATCATAATTTTGAAAGCCAGCTTGAGAGACCAAGCACAGAAAAGATTAAATGAGTCATGTGTGTGGTGAGGAAAAAAAAAAACCCGCTCATGCATGAATCCACTCATAAAATGTTAATATATGCATAAGAAAATTGTGTTCCTTAATCTCTGAAGAAACACTTATCACTAAGAACCCTTTAATTCTTTTCCTGTGCTTGATTTATTAGCTTATGAAATTATGTTAATAGCCTTCATGTTAATGGTTTGGGGGCTCAAATGACCTGATTTTAATAATGAAGTAATTTATGCAATAAATGCAATCAGCATCTATGAATCTTACTTAACAGAACATATTGGTGATTAGCCAGTGCTAAAACAAGTGACTGTCAGCATGGGGCAGGCAAGGCTGTGCTTCTGCTGAGAGAACCGAGCTGCTGATGGCAGGGGAGGGTGTGGGCTCCGTGGGCCACGTGATCCAGGCTGCGGCTATTGGCTGTGAAGGCTTTGCCGGGGTAATGGAGAGCAAGCATGAAATTAATTTGCTAAGTGTTCAATGAGTCTGGTACGTCAGTAACTGCAAAGAGTACATCTAAATGGGCTGTGTATGCGTGACGAGGAATATCTGTGTCTTTGGTGGAGTGGAACAGTTCCTAGAAAGAGACTAGAGAGTACGGAAGACAACAGCCAGCCTGCTCTCTGTAAGAAAGCCCCAGGAGAGGAAGACCCCAGAGGAGCTGGCAGTGGGTGTGAGTGCGGGGGAGCAATTGCAATCATCTTTAACATGCGTCTTGTCCTGGAGTAGTGTGGGTGGTAGTGTTTCCTTGAAGACCCAGAATACAGGTATTGATTTTGTGATAAAGTCACAATGTGTGTAAGTTTGGAAAATATATACAAAATACTGCTTGTAAGCAAAGAATATCAATTTTTAGCAGAATTTTAATTCTTCATCTTATTGACCATATTTGAATTTGAATTTGGGTCATCCTGAAAGCTCGTGTTTTAGACATAACCTTATACCCCCATTTTTTTTTGGATCTACATGAGGTTGATCATAATTTTACAGCACTGTAAAATATGAAATAAAATGTTTGTGAAAGGCTTTCTGTATGACCTGCAGTAAGAGCTGCCATATGCAATTCCATGGTGTAAAACACTCAGGGACAGGAATGCCTGTTAGATGATGGCCACTGACTGCTCGCCCGCTGGTGGAATAATATCGGCAAATCGTTCAGAGTTGAGATGGAAGCTTTATTGGAAAATCCGCTCCTGGGCCCCCTTCGCGCAGAGGGGAAGGAAGAGGGAAGTGAAAAGGGTGTCTGAGATACGTGTGGAGGAGTTTTATACTCCTCTAGACACGAGGGCGGGCAAAGGGGCTGTCTGTGTCCCAACTATGTAAGGAATGTCCATTCAGGTGTGTCATTGGCCAACTGGAATCCCACCAGGTCGATGATGTAACTGGCTCCTGTGGGCCTTCCTGTGCCAGGCTGAACTGAGGCAGAGCAGACCAGCCCCTAGTCTCCAGTGCCCTGGGCAGCCATCAATGCCTTTCCCTGCAATGCTCCTGGCTATCAAGCTGATGTGCAGGTGCAGGCTGAAGATTAAAAAAGATCAGCTCACGAATCACTCCTGGAGACGAGTTCCATGGAGTGTTGGTTGCATTTCATAAAGAAAATCATCCCCTAAGAGATGTTTGTAACCCCTTCCGTGTATCTCCAAGCACACTGCCTGAGTGTTTCACCTACTATGATGTTTACTGCAACTTCACATGCTCATCAAACAGGAGTTTAACCTATGTGGTGATAAATAGATTCATAACATTGTGAAGAGCTAGCTCTGAAAGTTATCTTGAAATGTCTCATGGAAGAAGTTGAAGTTTCCTTTTCCAAGTAGAAACTATTATAAAAAGGGAAGAAAGCCTATTTTTCCCAACACTGATACGGGATAGAAGATTTTAACTAACGTCTAGCATCCGAGACGTCCAACTTTGCTCTTGAGTTTTTCTGGAATTCTATGGCTTTTCATATTTTTCCTTGGTTCTTATCACTGCTATTTTAAGTGACTTTGCCCTCACCAATGGGAGAATGAAAACTCCCAAGAACACATCCTTCCATTTTTTGTGGCAACTATTGTACTGTGTGAGGCAGGGACAAAAAGTGATGGTGCAGTTGGAGCTGGTTGGGGAGCGGTTATCCTTTCCTCCCTTTTCTGAGCTTTGATTCCACACAACCCTCCCTCCATTTGGGGAGCTAATGTCTTCCTTCTACCTTCTTCTCACTCTTCCCTCAGATGCCACACTGTGCCCTTCTACCTTCAAGACACAGTGGCCAGTTCATAACCACTTTGAGCAACACAAGAGGTGTCATAATTATTTTCTAGGTGGAAATAGAAGGTTAGTTATCCTGTGGGCTTGAGGTGGCCATTATGTCTCAAATACAACCCTTCCCTTGTTCTTCAGGGTTTATTGGCCATCTCCTACTTGTGTTTCGGAAGCATGGGCCTTTGTTAACTCAAGAGCTTCTTGTACCTGCTTACTCTCATGGTTCAGAAGACACTCATCCTTCTGTGTTTTAACTATGGCATTTTTTTGCATTAGTTGCTGCTGTTGAGTATTTTAAACCAGTCATTGTGTCAAAGGAAATGTGTTAGCATTTCTGCTATTGGTTATTCACATCTCTCTCTCTCTCCAAGCCAGGGACAAAGGGCTGAGTTCCTCCTGGTCATGTGATTCTCCTCTTCTCCCCACACATCACTGTTCTGTTCTGGGCAGGGCAAAAACTCTGGCCCATTTTATGTTTGAACTCATTTTGGAAAATGAATGGGTAGCAGAGGGGGAAAAAGTTCCAATCGCTAAAATAGCAATTGCTGGGTTTAATGAATATAATCCCCTCCTCCCCCTCAAAAATAGCCAGAAATAGATTATTTTTTAAATCTCAGTGTCTTTTTATAACACAGAGCCACAGTATTGTGGTGGAAAATGTGGGTTCTATAGCCAGAACGGTCTGGATCTGAATTCGGTCCCTTGTAATTGCTATGTGTCTTCAGACGGTGTCTTACTCTTGTGCTGCTTGCTTGGTCCAAGTTTAAAAGGAGGTTATGGGTGGGTGTGGAGTTCGGCTGCCTCTCTGGGTACTCACATCCCATACCAGAATGCTAGTTCAAGTCTTAGTTATTTTTTCTTGCAGTCTAGCTTCCTGCTAATGGGCAGGTCACCAACCAGCATAGGAAACCCAGATTGGGTTTCTGAATACTGGCTGCAGTCTGGGCCAACTCTCACTGGTGTGGGCATTTGGGGAGTGAACTAGCAGACGCAAGATCATCTGTCTCTCTCACTCTTTTTTTTTTTTTTTTTAAGATTTATTTTTTATTGTAAAGTTAGATACACAGAGAGAAGAGACGGAGAGGAAGACTCTCTGCCTGATGACTCACTCCTCAAGCAGCTGCAACAGCCGGAGCTGAGCCGATCCAGAGCCAGGAGCCAGGAGCCTCTTCTCCAGGTCTCCCACGCAGGTGCAGGGTCCAAGGCTTTGAGCCATCCTCGACTGCTTTCCCAGGTCACAAGCAGGGAGCTAGATGGGAAGCAGGGTAGCTGGGATTAGAACCGGTGCCCATATGGGATCCTGGCACATGTAAGGCAGAGACTTCAGCCACCAGGTTTCTGTGCAGGGCCCTTGTCTCTCTCACTCTTGCTCTCATGCAACCTTTAAAATGGATTTATTTTTTTAAACAACAAAATGGAGGTAGAAATAGCCCCCACTTCAGTTGTAATGCAGATTGGCTGGATTTATAGATATAAAACCCTAAGAACCTCTGGCACAAAGTAATTGCTGAATTCCTGTTATCTATTGTTAGAGTAATATCACATGCCAGGTCCAGTCCCAACAATAAAATGTCTCTCAGGGACAAGACCGTAAAACAGTTTGAAGGGTTTTTCAGACAGGATCAGGAAGAAGATGTTTTGCTTCTCATTTCCTCTCTAAAACATTGTCCTGTTTACTGTTATAAAATTCCTTTGATCAAGCACAATCTTCAGGAGATACTTATCAAGATAGCTGCGGGGTTGTCTGTTTTAAATCAGATGATTTAGAGGCAATGAGATAAGTAAATGACTGGCAAGGCTGAGAACCCTTGACAACCCTGGTTGGAACCCTATGTTCCAGAAAATTCTCAAGGTGGGTGGCTCAGTCAGCTTCCTTGCAGAAAGAAAAAAGCCATCTCGGACTGGAGCAAATTAAAATATTTGCCATTATCCTGCAAGAATTTCTCATCCCACATATGAAGCAAGGGTTGCTGTCACTGCATTGAGCTTTGAGGAGGGGAAGTGAAGATGTGGCTGGTGGAAGGAATTAAAAATTACTCATCCAAACTGTCTTACAACATTGTGTGTGCGTGGGGGGGTGGGTGGGTTCTGGAGGAAGGTCACAGTTCCTGTTCCTTCCATCCCATCAAGATTATCCTGCAACCTGACATTTCTTAATCTGAGTTTATTTTCCAGGTCATTAATTTGATTTCTCAATGTTTTGCAGCCTTAGGAAGTCTCCATTAAAAACAGTATCATCAACATCAATCATCATTTTCATTTCTTCCTTATTGTGTCCCTCCTGTTTTTTAAAAATCTA